TACAGTGATGCCCGGTCCAAACACCGGTTCTGATGCCACGAGCTTCTGTTTGCAAGGCTTCCCCGAGGACTGTATTTCAAAATACGGGGGGGGGTAGAATGTGTCCCCTCAAAGGGGAGGGTCTGCTGAAGACGGGGGTGTATGAAGTGTGGGGGGTCCAAACCTTATATTGGATACAGGAGGCACTTCCTTATTCAAATCTCCTTTGAAATGCAGGCCTCGGGGAAGCCCTGCGAACAGAAGCTCGTGGCATCAGAACCGGTGTTTGGACCGGGCATCACTGTATGTCACCTTGCAGGGCACAGTCTCCAGAGCGTGGGGATGTGTCATTTGCGGTGGTCCAAATATTTTTTTGGGTGGGCAGTCTGGCCCCAGTGTCTGCCTGTGTGTGTGTCCTGGGGGCACCACACTTTGGAGCAACTGGTACTGGAACCGCACTTTGGACCAGCACATAGAATGTGTCCCCTCGAAGGGGAGGGTCCGCTGAAGATGGGGGTGTATGAAGTGTGGGGGTCCAAACCTTATTTTGGGTGCAGGGGGCACTTCCTTATTCAAATCTCCTTTGAAATACAGGCCTCTGGGAATCCCTGAGAACAGAAGCTCATGGCATCAGAACCGGTATTTGGACCGGGCATCAATGTATGTCACCTTGCAGGGCACAGTCTCCAGAGCGTGGGGATGGGGCCTTTGGGGTGGTTTAAAGATTATTTTGGGGTGCAGGCTGGCCCCAGTGTCTGCTTGTGTGATTGTCCTAGGGGCACTGCACTTTGGAGCAGCTGGCACCAGAACCGTGCTTTGGACCAGGATACAGCATATGTCCCCTCGAAGGGGAGAGTCCTGTGAATGTGGGGGTATATGATATGTGGTGGTCCAGACCTTAATCTGGGGTTCAGAGCTTTCCAACTCACTCTCCTTAGTGTTTCTGAATGACTACACGAATAAGTAACAAATAAGGAATGAATAAGGAAGTGCGAATAAGGAACCAACTTCAGCCTCCTGTCCAGGAGGCTGGTTACAGTAGCATTCCCCCACAGGAAATTTCCCCACTGCATGCCATCACAGGCCCCTGGGATACAACAAAGTAACATGTAGGCTGCATCCTATGCACCATTGCTCTGCACTAACTGCTGTGTTCTATTAGTATTCATCCAAATACAGATACTTTTCTGGTGGCAACTATCTCCTTTTTCCAGAATCCAAGGCAGGTTTTAAGGATGTGAAGGTACACCATTCATGTCATAACATTTCCTGCTCTCTGTTGCTACCATGAAATATACTTTATGCCTCAACTTTCAAACAAGTGGTGTAAAAACCACTGCATTTTCATATCATTTCAGCAAACCAGGCATGCTAGACTACTGATGTACCATACTCCAATCTTTAATTTAGTCTTCCCCAACAATTTTGATATCCTTGCCAGTGAACAAGGTGCCATATTTTCACTCTTTTACTTTAAAATGTAGATTAATCCTACAGATTATGAAAAACTGACAAATTATTCTTTGCCTTTCTTCCCTTTTATTACCGGGGCTGGGATGGGAAGCAACAGGAAATTTTAAATTGTTTCCAAACCTTACTCAACATATTACACCCTGATCCTAAACACATCAGGCAAGACATACTAAGCAGAGATATTTTCCTCAGAAAATGTATTTAATTGACATTCTTCCAAATAGTAACTGAAGACAGCCCAAAGCTCCTTATTCAATTAATAATTGTGCAGCAGCTGACTACAAAATTACTATAATTGCTTTCAACCTAATCAGGCGTCAGTTCGTAGAAAAAGAGCTGCAGGAGCTCATTAGCATAACTTATTAGCATATGCCACACCCCCTGACATCACCGGAAGTGCACCAGCCCCTCTGACAGGCAGAAGCACCTGGGATCCATTCTTTCCCCCCTCTCCCTTCCCTTCGCCTCCAAGTCGGGCAAAGGAAAAGGGGAGGGGGAGGATCTCAGGCGCTTCTGCCTGACAGATATGCTGGCGTGCCCACAGCTAGCCTGGGTGAATTATAGAATCATAGACTCATAGAGTGGGAAGGGACCTCCAGGGTCATCTAGTCCAACCCCCTGCACAATGCAGGAAATTCACCAATACCCCCCACACACCCCAGTGATCCCTGTTCCATGCCCAGAATATGATTTTAAAAACCTCCAGGATCACTGGGGGCCAAACTGGCCTGGAGAAAAATTGCTTCCTGGCCCCAAAGTGGTGATCAGCATTTCCCTGGGCGTGTAAGAAAGGGCCACAAGAACTAAGCACTGATGCAACCCTTCCTGCTCTACCTCTCGTGATTTGCCTAAGTTCACACAATCAGCATTATTATGATCCTTTTAAAGTTGAAAGGATGATATAAATGCAAAGGACTATTTGTAAGATTATCTGTAAGACACAAGACCAGGATGCATCTCACTTCTGGGCAATCACTTGAAGAAACCCTATCACTCAGCTTCCATTGCCCCCCACACACCCCACACTGGAATAAGAACATAATATCAGGCCATACCGCATTGCAATAAAGCCCCTACAACTGTATACAGAAATACTGAGCTTCCCTACCATTTGCCACAACTAGCCCACCACACAACCAGGATCAAGACTCCTAAGTGGACCAACAGACAGGCATACACTCGTTTGAGAAACTGAGTATTACATTACAACACCTCTGGAACATTACAGATCAGTAGAGGCAGCACTGCACAGTGGTCAGAGTTGCAGATTGATGTGGGGAGACCCAGGTTTGTATTCTCACTCTGCTGGCTGAGTGACCCCAGGCCAAATCTCCCCTTCTCTAGCTAACCTACCCCACAGGGTTGTTGTGAGGATGAAATGGAGACTCATGGGCAGGGTCCCCAGCTTCCCTGGCAGGAACACTATGTTAAGAAATCTCTCACAATTATGCAGCCATAGCAGGCAGGAGGGAAGGAGGCGAATACCTCCAGCGCCAGAGACTTGTAGGGGAAGAGTCAAACTTTGGGGACTCACCCGTGCACCAGAGGGCCAAGGCAGCAGGAGGCAAGAAGCCTGGGCGAGCTGGGCTCCTCCATGCCTGGCAGAAGATGAGGTGCAGAGGCGAGAGGTGGGCAAGCAGAAGAGGCACTCAGCCAGCCGCACAAGCTGCGTGCAAAGAAACTCCCGCTGCCCCAAGCTTCAGGGCTGCCTCGTTAAAGGAGTGCAGAGGCCAGACTCACAAATGAGAAAAAGCAAGCAAGCTCTGGGTTCGTGGGTCACATTTTGGGCTGTGGAAGAGGAACCGGCTCCATTCCTGGAGTTCTCTCGAGTTCCTGTGCTTTTGGTTTCGCTTTTTGCCAATCCGCCTCCCAAGACTGCTCCAGGTGCTCCAGCCTGAGGGCTGCTGGGGGCGGGGATCGAGTGCTCATTACTTGTGGAGCTGAGGCTCAATGTCCCCAGCTGCTCCGCCACATTCCCTTCCCTTGGTTTGCTCAGGGAGCCCGAGCAAACCGGCTGCTGGAGGGAAGGAGAGGCGGTTTAAACCACCTTCCCTTCCCTTGGCTTCCTCAGGATCCCTGTGGCTGCAGAGAGCCCGAGCAAGCCGGCTGCTTGGAAGGATGTGCATTCAGTTTGTCTGAACCGAATGCACCCCCGAAAATGGCCCATTTGGGCCCCTTTTAGGCTGCTGCGGGCCGAATCAGATTCTCTGATCTGAATTGGCTTCCCACAGTTCAGCCCCATTATATCCTATGGGCCCTAGAAGTCAATGCGAAAACATAGGGTATATTCTGGGGGCTGGAAAAGTGGGAGTTTGAGGGAGAGGCTCTAAAATCGCAGGGTAGCTGCTGGAGCCTCTCCCCTAGATACCCACCATGTTTCAGGAACATTGAACCAGGGGGTCCAATTCTACGGGCCCCCAAACAGGTTGCCTCCATCCCCTCCATTGTTCTCTATGGTGGGAAAAAAGTTACTTTCCCCCCACCATAGAGAACTGCTGATAGGGAGAGAGAGAATAGAGTGGGTCAGCAGAATCAAATGAGAAATTGTCTGATAATTGTTGCACAATGCAGAATGCCTATTTATACTTTTTTTAAAAAAAAATCCTAATCTGGACAACCTAAATAAACTCAATTATATTCTGCTGAATAGAACAAGCACTCCAATTTTCAACATCAAAATACTTCGGTTAGCACCCATACGACTATCCTTCAAGGAATATTCCAAGGGATGTTCCAGACACTGCTTATCTCATTATACTACCCTGCTTAGTATAATGGTTAAGCGGGCCAGACTAGAACTAGGGAAACCCAGATTCATTCCTCAGCCATGAAGCTTATTTGGAACCAATCCATCTCTCTCAGTCTAACCTGCCTCACAGGCTCAAAAGGATAAAATGGAGAAGAACCTTGAAGGAAGAGTAGGATCCAAATGTGATAGAGAAATCATCTGCCCAGGTAATCAGTCCAGAATCAGAGAATGAATACTTCAATAACTCCACTAAAAGAAAGACAGGCTGCCCTCATTCTGGAATTCTATTGCACAGCTAACCCAGATACAGACATTATTGACTTTGTGTAGCTCTTTTGACAAGTGTTGGTGGCTACAAACTCAGAAAAGGCAAAAAGAGACATTTCTTTAGATACTTTGTTTTTCTTGCTAATGAGGAGAGATCTGTGACATTGATACAGGAGCCTAAATATGTACTTACCTTAATCATAGGGTATCTGGGGGGAAAGGCTAGCATGCTTCTAGAAGGTTTGCTAGAAACACACCAAGAAGGTATATAGTTTGGAGAAAAATGTTTAAAGCAACATTTCCAGCCTCCTTTCTGGTGAAAGAGTAATTGCCTATATTTACCTGTTTCCTATCCTAATTTAGGACAACTCAACTGTAGACACCTCCTTACTATCAATACCTACCATATCAGCACACTCTGCAATTGCCACACACATATTACACCCAATTACCTCACCCTGTATCACAACTTGAACAATCTTTCCCTGTTACCACAAAGAGAATGTTACCCCAGTCATACAATTTTACTTACCCTGGTGACTGGGAATTCCTTTTCATACACACAGCCTGAGTGACTGGATTTTGCTGATGAGCTGGAGAAAATCTGGCTGTTGAAGATCTCTATTTGTTCACCACTAGGAGAAAAGCAATATAAACATTTTAGTATGCAATACTGTCTAAACTGTAATGTCACAAGCAGTATACTGCTTTTGTATTATTACAAAAGAGCTAATCACTAGGTTCATTTCACCATTGTTAACACCCATTTGTAAAATGATTTTAGAAGGAGCACCTCAGGTTCACAGGCTCCTTTTAAATAGTTCAGTGGCACAAGATCCTAACTTTTTACCTTTGGACAGATAAAGTCTTTAGTTTATTATTTCCTGTCAACATCTTTGGCCAATAAGTGGAAGTTACCTACTCCGGTGACTTCAGAGTACAACAAGCAGAAATAAGGAGGGAGTATTATAAAAGAGACAGAAACTGGACCTTTTGACCAAGAGAAGGTATAATTCCATTGCAGAACACAGATGAAAACAAGAGCCAGCCAAAAGAGTTAACAATTCATTCAAACTGATGTGCGCTGGCAATGTAGTATGAACAATCACTTTTTGTAGTGGGTCACTTAATTCTGTAGAGTCCAAACCTGACAGCATCAAATATGTATAGTTTCAGAGAGTAGCTGTGATGGTTTGCAGTAGAACAGCTATATTTTGTCAGATCCATGATGAAGCGAGCTTTGATTCTTGAAAGCTCATACCCCCAAAGTTTTGTTGGTCCCTAAGGTGCTATTGAACGCTAATCTATCAACTCTGTACATGAAGTCCAGCTCAACAGCTTCTTGTTGGAGTCTGCCTTTGAAACAGTTCTGATGCAGTACTTGCAGCCTTTAAATCTATTTACGCAGGAAAGTTGAAATAATCCCTTACTGGCTTATGCATGTTTCCATTTTTGTATTCTGTGTTATTCTCTCACACAGATGCATAAATTTACAAAACCAGGTTCAAGGAGCATGTAATTCCAATATCCTCAACTCTTTTCTCATGATATTTCCTCAACTACTCTCTATCTAGATGATATTATTATTATTATATTATATTTCTTAACCGCCCTTCCCAGCTTGTGCAGGGCTCAGGGCAGTTTACAACAATTAATGTATATCTTTATTAAATGTTTATTCACATTGGACAGAAGCATTATTATTTATTTGCTCTGATGCTTGGATTTAGCTTGACTCTCTATTTTTCATTAGAAGGCACATGCTTTGCATGAAGAAGGTCTCTCCAGTTAAAGAAAGGATATTACACTTTTGGGCAAGATTTTTCTCTGCTACAAACCAGGGAGAGCCATTACCAGTTATAGCAGACAGTACTCAACTAGGTGAACCAATGGCCTGACGGTATAAGGCAGCCTGTTCCTTACTCCAAATATCCTTATTTTCATTGTATTTTTATTTTATTTTATATTAAAGTTCATCTGATTGTTCCTTCATATTTTTAGTAAAAATTAGAAATGGAATTGGTTTACAGGAATATCTCCTTTAAATTTTTTTAGCATATTAATTGTCTGTTTAAAGTAAAAGAACTCATTCATCATTTATTACACCAGCCTTCTGAGTGATGTATGAATGATACAGCAAATCCAATGGCTACAGCTATCACATAATAATACTTTTGTATACAAGGATTTGTAAGCACTTTCAACTGTTCAAACCACTCCCCATGCATTTCCTTGTAATCCTGTAAAGCAGATTAACATTATTATCGACTATGACGTCCCATCCATTTCCCTCCCTCAGAGGCATGATTTTTCCCTGTTTTTCTTTCCTTTTTGTGACTGAGCCACCCTAGTTGACTGTTTTCTTCTTTCCTGAAAGAATTCTGGCTGCCCCACCCTGTCACAGTAAAATATTTTGGCTGTTTACTCAGCACAGGAACCTGAGAGAAAGAATGGGAGCCCCCTTTAACTTATACAACTTAAATGGCACTTGAGAAGTTTCATATTCCAAATTAACAAAATATTTTAACATTTGGGGGGGAAGGGCAGGTGAAATCAGAGGCTGTAATTTCTAAGGTAAAACCAGTACACACACAGATTTTAGTTATTATTTTTCAGGCTATTGAGAGTTTCTCAAGCTATTCACAATTACTTAACTTTTATGTTGAGAGGCTTTTGTTTCAGTGCTTTCCCAAACACTACAGTACACTTTATTTAAATATTCTCTGACTCCTTTGGTTTCCAGAAGGCTGGCAAATTCTTTCCAGTATCCAACCTTCTCTTGAAACACCAATACTCATCTTGAGTTTTTAACTGACTCTTAAGGTTCTACAGGCAGTTTCTAACCACAGCAGACCAGGGATCTCTGCACTCCTCAGAGCTAACACCCTGTTTGACTGGGTAGGGAATTTTCTCCTCTCCCAAATGGGAGTCTTTGCCTACTTCCCAAACTTCCTTGCCAACTTTTCCCTCATTCTCCTGTCTGTGTTAAAGTGCTCTCAGTCAGGGCTGAACTCCAAAACTGTCAGTACTTAACTCTTCTCAGCCAGGGCTAAAATCAGACTCAATTCTCCACAGCATCCAGTTCAGAAGTCTTTCTCTGCTCAGCTGATGCTAACCTATCAGATCGCTTTGAACAGCCTGTCACCAGTGTTCCCCCTAAAATGAGTTAGTGTGAGCTAGCTCACAGTTTTTTAACCTCCGACTCACAGATTTTTGTCTTAGCTCAAAAAGGACGGCTCCAGAGCAAATTAATTTATGCAGTAGCCAAATCACTCACTCACAATTTTAATGCCAGTAGCTCACAAAACAGAATTTCTGCTCACAAGACTTCACAGATTAAAGGGAGCATTGCCTGTCACTCAGGGCTCTCTGACTCTGTGAAGAATTAACCCTTTACAACCCTTCAGCTGTTTGTACAGGACTTCTAAGCTTTTTAAAAATGCAGTCAATCACATCGACTTATTGCAATGAGGGGCTGAAGTTGAGACAGCATGACCTCCTCCTAGTCACCCATTGAGTTCATGGCAGATGTAAGAGAGCCAAATCATACTCATACACAAAGCTATGGGGAAGGTGTGCCTCTGGGTGTGTCAACTGACCAGCAGCCAGGCTTAAAGCTGCTCTTGTGCATTTACCTTCACAGTGAAGCCATAATCCAGACGGCTGAATCACAGTGACGTTTCAGTGAGGAGTTCCCCCAAAACAAAGGGAATTATAACCAACATTCTCTGCTATTAAGGTGTTCCGCTTGGGCACGGACAACACCTTTGAACCAACACCCGGGAAAGAAAGCCAAAACAAGCGCTTAGCTCGTCTCTTAGCTAGCCTTTCAGACTAGAAACACACGCGAGCGCGCGCATGTATATATAGATCACTATCTCACTTCCCTTTTTCAACCAATGCTCCTTTAGGGCGGGTAAAAAAACAGAGCTCTTCCCATCCGCACCACCTGAGTGACGGTGCGCCAATTCCAACACAGGGAAGGAGGAGGTTCTCTTCTCCACAGGCAACGAAAGTGTGGTCGCCGCCAGTGTCCATGCGCGCAAGACTGCGGGGACAGCGGCGATAAACCCCACAAGGGTGGGGGACGCAGCGCGAGAAGCTGGTGATAAACGCCATCCCCATAGAAACTGAAGCCACCGGGGGAGGAGGGAGACGCCAGAAGGCTCTTTTTCGCTCCCCGCCAGCCACAGCGGATGCCCGCAGCTCTTACCCGGCTGGTCTTCGTCGCTTCGCCCGGAGCTTTCGAGACGCCTCCTCAGCAGCAGCCCCAAGTCCGCCTTGGTGGACTTCTCAAACCACACAAATCAAACGCACCAGCCGTGGCGGCAGCGCTTCAGCGCCGGGCCTGGGCTGGGACTTCGCATCCATGTGACCATCCAAGGGAGGAGGAGCTGCGAGGGCTCAGTCGCGGAGACCGCTGCCGAGGGGAGAAATTGCGGGAACCGCCGGGGATAGAGCCGAAGCTGCGGGCTTATCGGAGGGAAGCGGTTATGGGGAGAGGCCGCTAAGCAAACGTGGAGTCCAAACGTGGGGGCCCCCCCCCCCCTTTCTCGTGGGCGTCAGAAAAGCAGCCGGCCGCGCAGGGTCAGGCCAAAGGTCTATGTAGCCGCGCGTCCTGTTTTCCACAGATCTCAAGCATATGTTTCCGGGAATCCCACAAGCACAGTATGAAGGCCGCAGGCCTTTCCTGCCTGTGTTGTCCAGCGACTGGTATTCAGAGCTGGAGGTGTTGATGAGCCATGCTGGCAGGTGGCCCATAGCCGTCCCTCATTACTTTAAAAGCAATGTCGGAGATGTGGAGGCAGTGTATTCGTTTTTAAATTAAATGTTCATTTTTGGTATTGGCATGGTGTAGTGGTTCTCTCAGGAGGCCCTTGGATCAGTCAGGGCTGTTATGAGGATAAAATGGGGTGGGTGGGAGCTATATATGTTGACCTGAGCTCCTCAGTGGAAAGATGGGATGAAAAAGTGAAATATCTGCACTTTCCAGGGGTGTGTGTGTTCATTTTTCATTGCCTATTGAGGGGATGTACTAAAACGAATGACAAGAATGCACACTGAGAACAATAAATATGCATAAAGGACCATTGGATATAATGGGAGCCAAATACCAACGGTATGGGTTCTATTTAAATACAATTAAGTAGTGAAAAGTTCCACTGAAAATGCAGAACAAAGTTTGAGTCCAGTGACACTTTTAAGACTAACAAAATTTTATTATGGGTATAAACGTGCACACAAAAGCTTATACCCAGATTAAAACTTTGTTGGTCATGAAAGATGCCACTGGACTCAAACTTTGTTCTGCTGCATATGGCTACATAAGGCTGAATGCAGACCAGATTTAGAGAAACCTGCTCTGAGCCTGAAATGACAGCTCCTGGAGTGGATTGATGGTCCCTGGGAATAACATAAATGTTCTGAGACTAGAATGACAGTTTGCAAAGTGGGATGACAGTCCCTAGGAGTAGGATGCCTGGTTTTGGGGGGAAATTATTAAAATGTAGGATGCTCCATTCCACTGTAGTGGAAGACAAGGGGGACGGCTAGAGTGACAGTGGAGAAAATCCAAATAAATCTGACAAGGCATAGGCTAGAGTAGATTTGAAAGCCTCACCTATGGCAGTGATGGCAGCAAAGAAGGAATATTTTCCTGCCACCATTGCATCTGCACAGTGTGGTCAGGGGCCAATTGGGCTCTGGCCAGTGGGAGGAGGTAGACAGCTCTGCAGTCCCTTGTGATTTTGCTAAGCACTTTGCAGATGAAATTTCACACATCTGTTCCAATTTAGACTCTACAATAGCAGCAATAGGATTGCATTGTCCGAGGGTGCTGATTTGCGCAGTTGAATGGGATGCCTTTCTGCTTGTGCAGTCTGAGGATGTTGTCAGGATTCTAGGAAGTTTGAGGCCTACCACCTGTTTGTACAACTGTTGCCTGTCCTGGCTACTTAAATCTGCCAGGCTGGTGGACTGGGTCCTGGAGACAGTAAATGCCTCCCTGAGAGACAGGGTAATTGCTCCTGGACTGGGTCCTGGAGACAGTAAATGCCTCCTGAGAGACAGGGTAATTGCTCCTACCTTGGAACTGGCAGTGGTGCACCCACTCCTAAGAAACCTACTCTGGACCCAAAAGAAGTGAATAAATATAAAATCCATTCTCAAATTACCAATCTTAAAATAGGTCACTGAATGAGCAGTGGCTGGCCAACTTCAGAGATTCCTGAATGAAGCGATTGTTTAGATGTGTTCCAGTCTGGTTATGGGACAGAAATGGCCTTGTTTGCCCGGAGGGATGATATGTGCTGGCAAATGGACAGGAGGAGTGTGACTCTGTTAATTTTCCTGGACCTCTTGACGGCTTTTGATACCATCAATCATGGTATCCTGGGTCACCTTTTGGGACTGAGAGGCATTGTTCTGTGGTGATTCTGGTCCTACCTCAAGGGTAAGTTTCAGAATGTGGTGCTAGGGAACTGCTGCACTGCCCATTGGCCTTTGGATTATGGAGTTCTCCAAGGTTCCATCTTGTTCCCCATGTTTTCAACATCAATGTAAAGACACCTGGAGAGGTCATCCAGAGATTTGGTCTGAGCTACCAACAATATGCAGATGACACTCAGCTCTATCTCACCCAATGAGGAAAAGCCAAAAGCCTGGGGTTTTGTGGTTTAGAAAAGAGATGAATGGGGGGCGGGAATTTTCACAGAATTAGGGCTGGATTGAGCCTCAGTCCTCTGCTAAAGCTCTGGTACACCTGTGATACTTAAATTTCTATAGCCTCTATAGTTGAATCAGTGGTTCTGGTTCCCAGGAGACTGTAGGACTCTGCTAAGTGCTGTGGCCTTCAGGTACAGATACCTCTGTACATACCTTTTGCCTTACATGACTTTTGCCTTTTGGGATACCTATACCTTATCAAATTCTAAATAGATAGAGTATCTGAAGCTAGCTTTCTGGGACTCTCTTAGTCTGCCTTGGTCCTTTCCACATTTGCCTGCTCCGCTCTCAGTGTCTGAGTCGAGACAATTTAGTCCACAGCAAAACAGCATGCAAATAACCCCAGGACAACAGCAGGCTGAAACCGGGCTGACCTTGCCACAGTAATCCACACATCAGTCACCTCCAGACTGGATTACTGTAACTCTTTTTACACTGGCCTGCCCTTGAGACTGATCTGGAAACTCCAACTGGTCCAGAATACAGCAGCACAGGTCCTGACAGGAACACTACGGACCACACATATTCAACCTGAGCTGTGCTAGTTGCACGGGCTCCTGGTGGAGTACTGGGTCAGGTTCAAGGTTTTGGTATTGAGCTTTAAGGCCCTGAGTGGTCTGGAACCCATGTCACTTCAGGACCGCCTCCTCTGGTATGTCCCCTGAAGAGCTTTATGCTCTGTTGAGAACAAACTACTGGTGATTCCTAGCCCTAAAGACATCCGGCTGTCCTCAACCAGGGCATTTTTTAGCCTTGGCTCTCACCCTCTAAGCTGAGTTAGTGTGAGCTAGCTCAGTTTTTTAGCCTCCGGCTCACACATTTTTTGTCTCAGCTCAGGAAGGATGGCTCCAGAGCAAACTAATTTATCCAGTAGCCAAATTGCTCGCTCACAACTTTAATGCCAGTAGCTCACAAGGTAGAATTTTTGCTCATAAGGCTCCACAGCTTAGAGGGAACATTGCTGGTGGAAGTCTCTGCCAAATAACATCCTCACCCTGCGGGACCTTATGCAGTTCTGCAGGGCATGCAAGGCAGAGATGTTCCGCCAGGCTTTTGGTTGAAGACAGCAACAGGTTCCACCTTATCTGGCACTCCCTTCCTTTCCCGCATCCTGCTTTCTCTTGCTGCTGTGAGTCAGTTATACATATTGTATTTATTTTTACACCACATGATGTTATTTTTCATTTTTAATTATTCTTGGATTTTATATTGTATATTTTTTGTTGTCAACCACCCTGAGCTCTGTGAATTCAGGGAAGAGCAGTATACAAATTGAAATTATAAATAAGAAAATCAATAAACAAGCTGAAACTCAATGCCAACAAAACAGAGGTGCTACTGGTGGGGGGAAGGTCTGGCCCAGGGAATGAGTCATTCCCTGTTCTGGCTGGGGTTGCACTCTCCCAAAGGAGTAGGTTTATAGCTTGGGAGTACTTCTGCACCCAGACCTCCAGTTGGATAAACAGGTGGCCACAGTGGCCAAGGGTGTCTTTCAGCAGCTTTGGCTGGTGATCCAGCTGTGGCCCTTCCTGGGCAGAAAAGATCTTGCCACTGTGGTGCATGCCCTGGTAACATCTAGATTAGATTACTGCTGTATGCGCTAAATTGGCCTGCCCTTGAAGACTGTATGGAAGCTACAGTTGTACAGAATGTTGCGGGTCTGAGTGTTGACTGAAATAGGTAATAGAGACCATATGACTCCAGTCTTGTTCCACCTCTACTGGCCTCCAGTTTGCTTCCAGGCTCAAGGTGCTGGTATTGACCTTTAAGCCCTGTACGGCCTGGAACAAGCTCGCCTTATCCCATACAAACCTACCCATTCACTCTGGTCATTGTAAGAGGTTCTCTTTTGGTTGCCCTCACCATGTGAGGCTGGATGTTTGACAACCCAAGAAAGGGCCTTCTCTGTTGTGGCACCAAACCCTTGGAAGTCCCTTCCCAGGGAGATACATCTGTCTCCCTCTATTGTTGTCTTTCTCCAGCAGGAGAAGACTTTTTTGTTTGATCTGGCATATCGCAGTAGTTATTGGTGGTCCGTCTAGTGTTCTTTATATGTTTTTAATTGTGTATAAACAATAAAAATATATTTTATAACAACTACCAATTGTTGTTTTCATTATTTATTTATTTATATTTACATTTATACCCCTGTATATTTACATTATTTATACCCCGCCCACCCTGTAAACAGGCTCTGGGCGGCTTACAGAAGACGGCCAACAGGCCGATACAAATAAAACAATAAAAATATTAAAATCCCTTAAAAACAATCTTAACAATAAAGTGCTCGCTACATCAGAGTAACCTTAAGATGAATGGCTTGTATCTGCATTCCTTCTGTCTTCAGGTCTTCAGATCAGTCCCACAGGCCAGATGTTTGCCGGTGAGGCTCAGAGTGGGCCAGTCCGATATTCCGGATTGATGGTAGCTGTGGTGGCGGCTCCTATTTGAAAGCCTGGTGGAAGAGCTCCATCTTGCAGGCCCTGTGGAACTGTGAGAGGTCCCGCAGGGCCCTGATCTCATCCGGGAGCTCGTTCCACCAGTAAGGAGCTGCCACCGAAAACGCTCTGGCCCTGGTAATGGCAAGTCTCGCCTCCTTGGGGCCCAGGATAGATAGACGTTGTTGGGCCCCAGACTGTAGTGCTCTCTGGGGCACAAATGGGAAAAGGCGGTCCCTCAGGTAAGCCGGACCCTGGCCATATAGGGCTTTAAAGGTAAGCACCAGCACCTTGAAGAGAATCCGGTAAGCAGTTG